TTTAACTCAATTAATTTATTTATGTCAAGTTTGTTTCCTGGGGCTTTCTAGGTACTCATTTGCTGTTCAGCTTGCATGCATATGCCGAAGCCCTAGGCCCTAAACACTGAACCCCAGACTGCCCTGAGCAGCTTCCACAGCTAGCCACACTTACCGCAGGTTCCTCTCTTTGCTGCTGCTGCTGCTGCTGCTGCTGCTCGACGCCCCCCGATCTCAGAGCCGCGCCCGCTGGTTCCTCCCAGGCGCCGTGGGCCCTAAACCCCAGGCCCTGGACCCAGGGCCTGGGGCCTGGGGCCTACGGCCTAGGGTCTAGGGTTTAGGGTTTAGGGTTTAGGGTTGGGGCTGGGCGGGCGGGGTGGGCTTGGGGGCTCGCTGCTGCTTGCTGCACTGGGCGCCTGCTGCTCACGTTTTGCTGCGAGCAGCAGCAGCTTCCCTCAGCTGCCCCACTTGCTGGGGCGCCTCCCAGAGCAAGCGGATGCAGCAGAAGCAGCAGCAGCGGGAACCCCAGCAGCAGGAGCCCCAGCAGCAGGAACCCCAGCAGCAGGAACCCCAGCAGCAGGAACCCCAGCAGCAGGAACCCCAGCAGCAGGAACCCCAGCAGCAGGAAACCCAGCCACACGAGCCCCAGGAGCAGGAAGAGCTCCACCAGTGACCCCAGCAGCAACAGCAGCAGCAGCTGCAGCAGCAGCATTAATCCCCACAACAACAGGGACACCAGAAGTGACCCGAGCAGCAGCAGCAGCAGCAGCAGCAGCGGGAGCAGGAGGGTCCTGAGCAGCAGCAAGGGAGCGAGGGGCGTCCGAAGAGCAGGCGCAGCAGGAGGCAGCCACCGCGGCTGCAGCAGCGCAGCAGCAGGAAGAGGTCCGCAAGTCCGCAGCCCTGGCTTCTGGCGCCGCCGCAGCAGCGCAGCAGCAGCGCAGCAGCGCAGCAGCGCAGCAGCGCAGGAGCGCAGGAGGAGCAGCAGGATGGGATCGTTTTTGCCGGCGTTTGGCCACCCGGCGTCTGCGCAGCCGACGCCGTACGGGCTGAACCGCTACTTGCTGCTGCTGATATACATGGTGTTTGTAGTGCTGAGTTCGAGTGACTACTTGGGCTGGGGGCCGCTGAGCGCCGTGCTGCTGCGCGCGGGAGCGTTCAGCTGGCGCTGCAGCAGCAGCGAGCCGCTCGCCGCGAGCAGCAGCGGCGTCGGCGCCGCGCGGCCCTCCCCAGCCCCCCCCCCCAGCAGCAGCAGCAGCAGCAGCAGCAGCAGCAGCAGCAGCAGCAGCAGCGCGGGGGCGGCGGTGGCGCTGTGCGGGGCGCAGCAAGACGCAGTGCGGGCGCTGTTCTCGTACGCGTACGGCGCGCGCTTCGTGGCCACAGCAGTGGCGGGGCTGCTGGTGGACCTGGCCGGGCCAAAGGTGACGGCGCTGCTGGGAGCAGCAGCAAGCGTGGGCGCGTGGCTGCTGCTGGGGGCCTCTTCTGCTGCCTTCCCCGCGCACTACCCGTCGTTCGTGCTGCTGGGGGGCGGCAGCGGGCTGACGCAGCTGCCGCTGCTGTGCGTGGCGAACCTCTTCCCGGGGGGCCTGGGGTTCAGCCTGACGCTGCTGGGGGCTGCTGCTTCGCTGTCCCACGCTGCGCCCTCGCTGCTGAACTTGCTGCACTCCCGCGGCAGCCCTTTTGCTGCGCTTTGCTTCGGCTACGCTGCATGCGTGGCGCTCCTCGGGCTGCTGCTCGTGGGGCTGCTCGTGCCTCTCGACGGCTTCATCGGGGTGGACCTTTTCGTGCTTGTCCGCTCCATGCCTTCGCAGCGCCCCTCCGTCGCCAACAGCGCCGACCCTGCTGCGCCGCAGCAGCAGCAGCAGCTGCAGCTGCAGCTGCAGGGCGCGCAGCTCCAGGCCCTCCCGCTCCAGGCGCAGCCCCAGGCGCTCCAGCTCCAGCACCACCTCCAGCAGCAGCTCCACCAGCTCCAGATCCAGCAGCAGCAGCAGCTCCAGCAGCAGCAGGCCAGCCCCGCAGCAGCGGCAGCAGCGGGCCCCGAAAGGCTGCAGCGCACTCTCTCCAGCTGGGAAGAAACCCAGGGACTCTCCGGGGGCGCTGCTGGCCTCAGCACTGTCACCGACGAAGAGTACTTCCGCCCCTTCAAGTTCGAGGCCTGCACTTTTCTCTACGTGGCCATTTGTCTTTACTTCACTGTCTGCAGCATCTCCGTCTTGTACTACATCAAAACTGCGAGGGACTTCCTCTCCAGAAAGGCCGTTCGAGTCCTCGAGGTCGCCGCGCCCCTCTCCGTCCTTCCCTGCGTCATCATCGGCAGAGTGTACGGCCAAACCCCAAACCCTAAACCCTAAACCCTAAACCCTCCACCCGCGCGCTAGACCCACGCCCTCACGCCGCGCCGACACCCGTGGCCCCCACACCACTCCTAGCTTTCCCCGGGGCCCTTCCCCTCCCCGCGTGACCACTGGTCCCCCAGGTGACCACTGGTCCCCACCCCCCCGCCACCCGTATCCCGGGGCCCCCCACAGCACAGGACCAGCGCCCAGGCCCACTGGACCCCCGCGCGACCAGTGGACCACTGGTGACCAGTGGACCACTGGCGGCCACTGGGGTGTGTGGCGCAGGTCGGACTTCGTGCCGGTGGTGTACATGATGATGGGGCTGAACTTGGTGGGGGCTTTGAGCTACATGTTTGCTTCGATAGGGACTGGGGGCTGCGTGGTGGCGTCTGTGGTTTTGTTTTGCATTTACTTGGCCCTTTTTGTGTCGCAGATGTTCATTTACACCAAGACCCTCTTCACTTCTGCAAACTTCGGAAAACTCGCCGGAGTCTGCTGCCTCGTGGGGGGCCTCGTGTCTGTGGGAGTTGAAAAGCTGTACGACTTGGTGGTGGAGAGGCTGCTGGCTGGCGACTGCCGCCCCGTCTTGTGGCTGCACTTCGGCGTGCTGCTGCTGCTCTACTTGCTGCTGCTCCCCATGGCCAGAGCAGCAGCAAGGAAGAAGGCCGAGCTCAACTGCTACAGAGAAATTGCCCCCAAGGTCACCACGGCCAGGACCTTCCCAGACGTTGCCCTGCGCCTCACCAGACCCCCGCCCTCTTCCCGAACCAGCTCTTAACCGCAGCAGCAGCAGCAGCAGCAGCAGCAGCAGCAGCAGCAACCCGTCCCAGAAGCAGCCTGCTGCACCAGGAACTCGCTGCAGCATCAGCCTGCTGCACCACCAACCCGCTGCAGCACGAAACCGCTGCAGCAGCACCAGCAACCCGCTGCAGCTGCAGCCTGCTGCATCAGCAACCCGCTGAAGCTGCAACCCGCTGCAGCAGCAACCTGGTGCAGAAGCAGCCCGCCTCTGCAGAGGGTTGCTGCGCTGCTGCAGCAGCAAGCCACAGCAGCAGAAGCGCGCATTGCAGCACTGAATTAAAACCTGCAGAGGCGTCTGCATGCAGCCCCGACTCAGCTTCCAAAAGCATCTCCGCAGCTCTTCTTTTCCGGCATTTGCTGCTGCTGCCCCACAGCCCTCTCAGCGGCTAGTGGGGCTGCAGCAGCCAATATACAGCAGCTGTGGGGCCCCGGGCCCCAAGTGCTGCAGCGCCGCCAGCAGCAGCAGCAACAGCAGCAGCAGCAGCAGCAGCATGCATTTTATGCATTTTTGGCCCCGCCAGTTCGTCCCTGGCGAGGGCCTCGAGGCCCCAAAAAGCACAAGCTTTACTTGCTGCATGCAAAGGACACGCACCCACGCTTGGCGTCCGCTGCCCCTGCCCCACTGCGCTGCTACTGCTGCTGCTGCTGCTGCTGTTGCTCCTGCTGTCGCTGCTGCCGATTCAGTCCGCAGCAGCGGCGCCCTTCTGCTGCTGCGCAGTCGAGCCCTTTCCTGCTGCAGTCGCTGCTGCGCCTCTTGCTGCTGCAGGGCTGAAGTGCGTACTGAAAATGGTAGCGCCAGGGCTGCTGCTGCTGCTGCTGCTGTTGCTGCTGCTGCGGCCTCCCCACTCGTAAGGCTAATACTGACAGCCAGGGGCTGCTGCAGCCAAAGTCAAGAGGAAAGCAACAAAATTAAGAGCCAGAAGCAGGCAGCGTTTGATGAGAAAACAGCAGCAAGCAGCAGTAAGCAGCAGTAAGCAACAGTAAGCAACAGTCAGCAGCAGTAAGCAGCAGTAAGCAGCAGTAAGCAGCAGCAGGCAGCAGTAAGCAGCAGCAGGCAGCAGCAAGCAGCAGCAAGCTGCAGCGAAAAGGTAAACAGCAGCACCGGGCTTCTCCAGAAAAAGGCCAGCAGCAAAAAGCACTGCGCAGGAAGCCCAAAAGGTTAGCTGTGAAAGCCCAAAGAGAGGAGAGTCAGCCAAACATGTGCACGCATGCATGAGTTTGCATGCAGCAGCAGCAGCTGCTGCAGCTGCAGCTGCAGCATCAGCAGCTGTAGCAGCATGCCCTTGCAGGCAGCAGGGGCGGAAGCAGCATGAATTGCGTGAGCAGCAGCTGCAAATGCAAAGGACACAGTGGCGGGAGCAGCAGTAACAAATGCAGGAAACAGCTGCAGCAAAAGCAGCAGAAGCAGCAGTGACAAATTCAAAGGAAACAGCAACAGCAGAAGCATCAGCAGCAGCAGCAGTTGATATGTGGGGCCATGCTGCATGCGAGGCATGAATGCGTGCAAAATGACAAGGGCAAAGTGAGTTTCATGTTCCCTGCTGCCGCAGCAGCTGCACTAGCAGTGCAGCAGCAGCAGCAGCAGCAGCTGCAGCAACCAAAGAGGCCCAGCAAAGCGCTGTAATGCCTCTGTGACGGCGAACAGCGGAACCCTAAGAACCATTTTCACACCAATTGGTGCTAGGGTTTAGGGTTTTGGGTTTAGGGTTTTGCGAGGCTTTATTACGAGCTGGGGGCATAGGGCCTAGATATACATTGCTGCGGATGCTGCCCACTGCCTCTCCACAAAGAGTCGCTACTGTCGGTGTTGCTGCTGTTGCTGCTACTGCTGTTGCTGCTGCTGCTGTTGCTGTTGCTGCTGCGCTTGCTGCTGCTGCTGCTGCCTCTTTCTTGCTACCTGTACTTCTGGCAGTTTCGGCGTTGCCTGTCTAAGAATGCACTCCTCTAGAGCCCCTTAGAGAAGCTGCAACGGCAACAGCAGCAGCAGCAGGCGCAGCAGCTGTTGCTGCAGCAGCAGCAGCCGAAGCAGCAGCAGCAGCAACAGCTTCTACTTTTCCAGCAGCCCCTTGCTGCTTTATACAGAGCAGTTTGCTGGGGCCAAACAGCTGTAGTTGGCGTCTGATGGGACAGAGTTTAGTTTTGAGGATGTAGGGGTTAGGATGTAGGGGTTAGGGTTTAGGGTTTAGGGTTTAGGGTTTGGCGTTTGGAGCATTAGCCTGCGCCTCCGAAGCCTTCCTTGCGGCGGCAGTGCGGAAACGGGGCAGCAGCAACTCGCTGTAGAGGATAGGGTTTAGCGTTTATGGCCCACTACTTGGGGTTTAGGGTTTAGGGTTCAGGATTTAGGGTTTAGGGTTTAGGGTTTAGTGTTTCATGCAGTGGTCCCCCGCAGAGGTACAGGGAAAGCTCAAGAAAGAGCAGGAGGCAAGTGGAAAGGGTGAAAGAGCTTTATGACCTGCAAATAACCCTAAACCCTAAACCCTAAACGCTAAACCCTAAACCCCAGACCCTAAACCCTCGTCCTAGGCCGTAAACCCTAGCAAGCCACGTATTAACGGGGGCATTTACACCCTGCATTATACCGAGCACTTGAAACACTGGTCGTACAGCAACAGCAGCAGCAACAGCAGCAGCAGCAACAGCAGCAGCAGCAGCAGCAGCAGCAGCTGCTGCTGCTGCTGCTCGGCGCCCCACACACAGTATGTGGCGATCGTTTAGGGCGTGCAGGCGCTCTATCTGCTGCTAAACGTTGCCTCCGTTGAAAGTTTTCTTTTTTGTTTATAATTAAATTAAATTTTCTTCTTTCTTAATTGTTTATTTCTCTGCAAACATGCAAACCTAACAACCCTTGTCGCTCTCTTTCGCTCGCGGCGCTACCCCAGCCACTGCCGACAGGCAGGCGTCCTAAACCCTAAACCCTAAACCCTCGGTCGTAAACCCTCAAAACTGAAATTCAGAGGTAAAATCCACCTTTTTTAGACAAAAACCTTTATTTTATACCACAGGTATCTACCATTTAAGACTCTCTTCTCTCCTTTTGCTTGCGCAGCGGACCGCCGACGAGGCCACTGGTTCCGCTGCCCCCAGGTGTACGTACACCTGAGGCAGCTCCGCTTTTTCTGCAATCTCTACTCTTTCCATTCACTTCTTGCTGCTTTTCCAGGTTTTTTGAGTCTCTTTCTTCCTTTTTGGTCTGCTGCGGAACAGCAGCTGTACGTACACCTCAGCCGCCTGTGCAAAGTTTCCTAACAGCTCCATTTGACTTCACAAGAGGCCTTTTCGCCTCCGCAGCACTCAGCAGGTATTTCCAGGGGCCCTGACACACTAAAGAGAACCAGCAGGGACGCAGCAGCAGCAGCAGCAACAGCAACAGCAGCAACAGCAGCAGTAGCAGCAGCAGCGGCAGCAACAGGACCACCTGCAACGAAGTGCGATGAAAAGGTCCCTAGCAGCCTCAAGGCTTCTTCAGAAAGCAACATATAACAAAAGGGGCGTCAAGATCGGCTAAATCCTAAACCCTAAACCCTAGGCCCTAAACCACAAACCCTAGCAGCTGAAGCCTTAGAGAGAATCTACTTAGCCTGCATCAGTCTCAACCTCTGCCTCATCACTCAACAGCTTCGAGATATGGCATAGCTAGCAGCAGCAGCAGCAGCAGCAGCAGCAGCTCGGCTCCTGTGCACGCAGCTTCCCGATCATTTGCAGCAGCAGCGGCAGACACAGGTACGAGGTCAACAGAAGCAGTAGTGAAGGCAGCAGCAGCAGCAGCAGCAGCAGCAGCAGCAAAAGCCGCGTCTGCAGAGCTAGAAGGCGGACGCAAAATGTCTTCTGCAGCAGCTGAACCTGAACAGAGAGAACAAGCCATATTTTTCCAGCAGCAGCAGCAGCAACAGCAACAGCAACAGCAGCCGCGGCAACAGCAGCAGCGACAGCAGAAGCAGCACCATAAGCAGCAAAATGACGACAACTCAGAGGCAGAGCAGCAGCAGCAGCAGCAGCAGCGGCAGCAGCACAAGGGAGACAACTCTCCATG